TCTTTTAAAAGGAGTACAGCAGAGTTTGAGGGAAACATAAAGAGGTCTCCAATGACAACAGATAATGTATTGTAACTAAATTACTTGAAGGTTACTCGGTTCGTGACATAGCAGATATGTTATTAATAGATTACTAGACTGTAAATAATATTATATAACATTATAATATTACTGATAAGATATTACTACAATCTCATGATGTTGATAAACGATTTAAACTTGGTTTAGACATAAAAGGAGTAATTTTTATCTGGATGTAATATGAGTCTATTCTTAGATTAAAAGATCTAATAATATAAATTACTGAAACTTTTGATATTACAGTGTCAATAAGTATAATTGATCGATGTTTCTGTTAATTCCACTCTATTTTTAAACATATTTCGTATTCTACATGGCCGTGTTGCTTAGTTGAAATAAAATATTTATGTTTAAACATGTTTTATTTTGACAAATTAGTTATATAATAATTCTAAAATCTGCTTCAGAAATTAACTTTATGAATATTAGTAGATAAGATACATATAACATTGAAATCTGAACATAGAAATGGTCAAAACACTATTTAAACAAGAAATGATTATGAATGCATTTTTGAACTAGAGATAAAGATAAAAACTTTGTCTTTTTTAAAAAGTGAAGTTTTCAGTGGTGACCCACAAGTAGAGGTAGCTCATTTATAGGTTTATCTCACTGTCACTGTTGCCAATTCAGAAATATTTCTGTGGTTACAACAATAAACAAATATGGAATGATTTTTCATAAAGTTCTTGAATGTATATTTAAAAGAGAAGATTTTAAAACTTCTTTATGAGAATTAAAGGTAGTATATACTGAGAAAATAATTAAACACCCTATTTTTATCATTAATAATATCAAATTTTATCATTACAAAAGACACGCGGAAGACTAAAAACTTCTCAGTACATTCTTAGGTATTTATATCTTATACTTACCTTTTTTTAAATCCTATAGAAATTATTTTTTTTGTTTGGAAAAATTTAGTTGTTTATGATAAAGCTTTAAAAAAAACTCAATTGAGATGTTTAATCAAAAAATGGTTTTATGAAATCACCTCTAATCACCGCAATTCATTTTATAGAAAAATTTTAGGTTTTTTATAAGGTCGGCCGCAAGAAAATTATTTTCAAATAAATTAAAACATTATTTTTTAATTTGTTTTATTAATTGTAAAATCTTGATAAGATTTGATTATAAAATTATTGCAATAGTTATTCAAATAATTGCAATAATTGTTGTAATAGTTGCAAAACTATAGTTTA